ATGGAGACAGAATTGTTAGGTATCCTCTACTTTCACAGCAGAGAGCTGAGTGCAGAACATCATTAGAAAATGTTTCAAGTAAAAATGTTCACATTTTAAGATATTGCAAGTAAATCAAAACAATAACCACTGAATATATAAAATGGCTTTTGTTTTCCTGTGTGCATCACACAGGTACTCCAGGCACAAAGATTTCTCATTGTGGAGAATCAGTAAAGGCATATCATATATGTTCAGTTGGTGTTGAGATGTTGCAGATTTAGGTAGACCTCAGTTTACTGGGTGGGATCTGCTAACAAAACTTCCCAGTGATTTTTAATAACCCTGACTACATATAAAAGATACTGCCAACAGATGGAGACACCAGGGGAAAGATCTGAAGCAGCCCAGCTTTACACTTCTTGCCTGAGAGGTGTGTGTTATGACTTAAATCACAAGAGATCTATCATTGCTTTGTTAACAGGAATAACTTGCAACACCTTCTAACATCACACTGCTGAGTGTGAGGGTGAAATTTGTTCCAGAATCACTGCCACTAACCCTGATAAGACCCCTGGTTGTAAACAGATTGCATCATATATAATGATCTTAGAAATGTTTCCAGATTTCTTCTGGTGCAAGTGAAAGTAAGTGTTAATAACCTGTCATGTGATGGTACCATTCTCCTACAGATGCCAATGGGGAGTATGGAGATTGGGTCATGAGCATGTTACATCTGGCTTCTAAGACTGGAAAATTAAAAGCAAATATATACAAAACATATGATAGTCCTAAAGGATATTTTTTTCAAGAAGAAAACAGCAATGATCATTAGGATTGGAGAACTCCCCAGACTTAATCCATCTGTCACCTAGAACCCAGAGCATCAACATCCATGGGAATTGAGTAGAAACTCCCATTCCTGATGCTTTGCCCTGAGTGTAACAGATGCCTACACAGGTTGTGACTAGAAGTATGCATGCAGTAGGCCATGCTCTTGGTATATGTAAATAAGCAGGAATTAAGGGGTGCTGGGCTCAACAGTCATTAAAATGTATTTCATTTTTCTCATGAGATTTATGATAATTGATGGGGTTTCATGTGCTTTCTTCCTAAGGTATAAATATCTTCCACTTTCATAAGACATTAGATCTACAAAAATAAAATAAACCCTGTTTTATTCTCTGAAACAAATTTGTATTAGTTATTGCAGGAACGATTGTAACAAATTACTAAAATCTGTGGTTTAAATATAGGGCATATAATCTCTCATATTTCTAAAAAGAACAACTATAAAATTTGATTCAGTGAGTCAAGAACATGTATATGATGAGGTGCTAGAGAGGTTTTAAGGAAAACTTTTTCTACGGATTAATTCAAACAAACAAAAAACATACTGAGTGAGGAACCCCAGACTCAGAAAGACAATCATGGTGTGTAGTCACTCATAAGCCAATATTAGATGTAAAACAAAGGTTACCTGACTGCAATCCACAGCTCCAGAGAAGCTAGGCAACAAGGAACACCATAATAGGGATACATGGATCACCATGGAAAGGGAAATTATATGATATCTGTCTGGCAAACTGGGTGTGGGGGTATGGCAATGGGGAGGGGGAGGGAGAATGATAACAGGAGGGAAGGAGATGGTCAAGGTAGGAAGGCATACAATGGAAGAGCAATCAAAAAGATAAAGATATCTTAAGAGGGAGAGCCACTATAGGCTTACGGGGAAATCTGATGCTAGGGTAATGCCCAAGAATCCAAGAGGTGGACCCCAGCTAAGACTCCTAACAATAGTAGAGATCATGCCTAAACTGGCTTATCCTTGTAGTCAGAATGATGAATGCCCCCAACTGTCATCATAGAGCCCTCATCCAGTAATTCATGAAACCAGACAGAGAGACTCACAACTAAGAATTGGGCTGAGCTGTGGGAATCTAGGAGAAGAGAGGGAGGAGCAAGGGAGAACAAGATCCTGATGGAATAAATCTACAGAGACATCTGAACCAAAGTTGTGGAAACTCATGAAATCTAGACCTACAACTCTGGAGACTCCAGGGAGCCAAACTAAGCCCTCTGTATGTGGGATACAGCTGTGAAGCTTGGACCATCAGAGGGCCCCAGGCAGTAAGACCATGATACAAACCTGGTACATGAATTAGCTTGTTGGACCTGTTTCCTGTGTTAGGATGCCGTGCTGTCTTAATGCAAAGGGAGAAGGGCTTGGCCCCAACCTATTGTGCCAAACTAAGTTGACTCCTCATGGAAGCCCTTACATGTGAGGAGGAATGGACTCACTAGGAGTGAGTTAACATGGAGTAGGAGCAGGCAAGGTGGGTGGGAGGAACGGTGGGAGTGAAAACTGTGGTTGGAATGTAAGATAAAATCAAAAAAATGAAAAAATAATAATCAACATCAATATATATATATATATGACGTAGAATTACCACTTATTACCAAAAGAATTGCATACTTTGGCTTTATGTAATACACAATATGATTATTATCAGAAGATAATCTCAAAATAAACCAAATGTTATGTAATGAAAATTTACCAAATCGTTCTACAAAACAGTAAACTCCTTCTCAGTAACCCCAAAATATTCATGCAAATTGATAAAATTAGGATATAAATCAAGTCTCAATGATATAGGAAAACTAAAATATGATCTTACATTTTTCTTTACCTATGAGAAGTTACAATAATGACAGGTCTTACAAAACAATCCTACTATTAGTGTAGTGGCATGAAAATAATAAGTATCACCACATGCTTTTGGACTGGATTTAATGCCCAGTTTATAAGATGAAATTCAGATCTGGAACAGTTTTGAGGGCCATGAAACTGTGGATAGATTAGCCTTAAGCCCTAGAAAACATGCAATATAAATGATTTGATTTGCTTAGAAAACTTGGTTGATTGCAATCAAAAGAAAAGAAAATCAGCAAAATAAATAACAAAGTAAGTTATGTAAATTGCAAATGAAGCAACTTAGATAAAGTTTTCAATAAAGTGGTTAAGAAAAAAAACACTACAATAAAACATCATTGTGTCCTTAGAGTCCCTTCACAGAGAATATACAGAACAGGGAAGCTAACTTGTAAGAACTTAAATAGTAGATACATATTTTCTATATACTTAAGTAAATACAAAATTTTTTAGATATTCTTTTTGCTCTTGGCCACTGTCTTTTCATTAATATTTGTTCAATACCAAGGCCAAAAAATTGCATTTTCATTCTCCTATTCATTATTTTATGTTCAACAGTATATGTGTTAGACATATAGACTTCTATTGTAACTGTTTAATCAAAAACTATGCCTTTTTCTGTATTTTCCCACAAAAGCATTTCAAAAGTGTAGTAAGTCACAAAAGAATTCACATCTTAAAAGAATTTAGAAATGAGAAAAAAATCTAATTCATAGTGAAAACAAGTTGTTCAGGGTTTTTCTGATAAGGACACTAAAGAAAAACAATGGAAAGAATTTTAAAAATTTGCAGATAAGAGTAGATACAGCATGAATGTGATCCATGCTAGTATATGAGATTGTAATTCACTTCATTTGTGCTTGAAATTTCACTATATATATATATATATATATGTATATATATATATATAATATAGTATATATAGTATTTGATACATAAGACATAAAAATTGTTCTCTAGGTTTCTATGTATAAATTTATGAAAACACTTTAAAAATTTAAAAAGTATGCTTTATTATAATTAAAACTGAATTTAGTAAGTTGAGTAAAGTTTGAAAATAGCTGAAGGGTATGTTAAATACTATTTTTCATATCATCCATTGTTGCCGTTCACTTGAAACTATATGACCAGCAGCTTCTGGAATCTTGCCTCCAATTGTAATGACTGGTTTTCTTGAATTCCCTATTCTACTTCAGAGATATGACATATTCCCTTTTCTCGTGTTTTTGCAAATAACTGTTGGCTTTCTACCTGTGGGAACCATTCTACCACAGGACCCTGCAGTTCTGTGCTTTGGCATATACCCAAATGATCCCTATCCATGCAATAAAGACATCTGTTCAACTCTGTTCATAGCAGCATTATTTGTAATAGTAAGAACCTGGAAGCAATCTAGATGCCCCCCGACTGAAGAATGAATAAGGAAATTATGTTTCTAAGTCTCTCACAGTTTCATGGAACAAAAGTCCTAGCTATGAAAGCATATATTTAGTCATCAAAATTACACAATGTAAGAAGAAATCATATTCATATCAGTTAAGCACAGACATAACTGGAGATATTATAGTGTGGATTGATGTACTATAAATAAATACAAATAATTCCCTACTTCCAATATCTACTTCTTGAAATAGTAGACTCCTCATATTGATAACTTTTGCATTGTAATGATGAAAATAGCTGATAGAATCAATTTTTAAAAGAACATATTTATTTGTCTCAGCTTTTCAGAACTTTCAGGCCTTAGATGAAGGGAAAGCATTTGGAGTCACTCCATTAGCACCATGATGGACATGAAATCAAGAGCTCAGTTTGAAACTGCAAGACATAATATACATCCAAATGTCTGTCCATTAAACTACCTCACCCAGCATGAGCACACACAACTAAGGAGCCTAGAACCTACCATAATAATATCCAAAACTGGTGCCAAGTATTTAAAGTGCTAGCTTTAAGAGATACTGCAGCATCAAATCATAGCATGTAACAGACCATGAGGTCCTGTTATCTAGACAACAGTTCCTTAAATTACAGTAGTCTTCCTGGATGTATTATTAGAGGTGTCTTGCTGTATAAATTCACAAGGATAGAAGACCTTGGATTACTCAAACATAAAAGAAACTGCTTTTAAGTAAATTATAAGATATTTTGTCATGCCTGTGCTCTTGGGCCTAGGAGGAAGAGAGTTAAAACTAAAAGAGCCACAATGACAGTTCTCTGCAATCCTCCCAGTGACCTTCAAAGCCTAGCCAATTCTTACAACAAAATATTAGCAGGTGCAGGCACTACAAGAAGCAGATGCAGAAGCTCAGTCTTGCTTCGCCACACTCCTGGAGGTTTGTGTTATGACTTGTATCACTGTGAGAGGAACACTTTGATCCTGTTGACAATAATAAGTGGCAATGTCTTCAGGCTGCAAGTTGCTGATGGTTAGAGAGTAGTCTGTCCCAGATCCACTGCCACTGAACCTTGTTGGGATCCCTGTATGCAAGTTGGATGTCTTGGAGATTAAGAGTTTAGGAGCATTCCCTGGCTTCTGTTGGTGCCAGGCTAACCAACTATTAATGTTCTGGCTGGCATGACAAGTGATGGTGACACTCTCTCCCAGAGATGCAGACAGAGTGGATGGAGACTGGGTCATCTGGATGTCACATTTCACACCTGAGTTTGGAAATATACGATAAACATATGGTGTTAGCCATATTATAAGATAACTTCCATAAAGAGCAAGGCAGCACTCATCACAGTGCTCTCTATTACTGTCTTTCTTACCTGCAAGCCAGAGCAGCAGTAGCCCCAGGAGCTCAGCAAGGACTAGCATGCTGACGCTTTGTCTTCACTGAGTATGGCTTCTATACATGAAATCAAACCCCTCTGAAGAAATACTCATAGTGGTGGGCTGTGCTCTGACCACATGCAAATCAGCAAGGACGAGTGGGGCTAGAGCCATCTGCAGGATTGGCTGGGCTCATCTTATAGACTCAGCAGAAGCATGAGAATGCTCAGGTAATCAAGAGGGCAAGGAGCTCAACAGAGTGGATGTAACAAATGTACATTTCGGAGATGCACCCAGAATAGAATCCATGCCCACGCTGTCATTATGTTATTAAATGTTCAAGATGGGTGACCTAGACGTGACATGAGGACAGGATTCTTATGCATGGAAATCCCAGGAAAAGAGCATCTTCAATCCTCCTTGTATCCTAGTTCCTCTGGCGGTGTGAATTATAGACTGATCTTTTGCTCTATGTCTGAAATCCATATATGAGCGAGTACATACCATGTTTCTCTTTTTGTGACTGGGTTACCTCATTCAGGATGGTTTCTTCAAGTTCCATCCACTTGTCTGCGAATTTCAAGATTCCATTTTTTTTTTGTTTTTTTGTTTTTGTTTTTTTTTTTTTCTGCAGAGTAGTATCCCATTGTGTGCATGTGCCACATCTTTATCCATTCTTCAGTTGAGGGGCATCTAGGTTGCTTCCAGGTTCTTGCTATTACAAATAGTGCTGCTATGAACATAGTTGAGCACATGTCTTTGTGTAGAAATGATATCTTTTTTCATGTTCTCCTATATTTTTCCATATCTCTATCTTCCTGGTCCTTATGCCCACCTCTCCCCTCGTCTTTCCACTTCTCTTTTTCCTAATTCCCACTCCCCTCCCTCCATGCTCCCAATTTGCTCAGGAGATCTTGTCCCTTTCTCCTTCTCCAGGGAACCATGTATGTCTCTCTTCGGGTCCTACTTGTTTCATAGCTTTTCTGGCAGTGTGTATTGTAGGCTGGTAATCTTTTGCTCTATGTCTAAAATCCATATATGAGTGAGTATATACTGTGTTTGTCTTTTTGTTACCTCACGCAGGATGGTTTCTTCTAGTTCCGTCCATTTCCCTGCATATTTCAAGATCCCATTGAGTTTTTCTGCTGAGTAGTACTCTATTGTGTAAATATACCATATTTTCTCCATCCATTCTTCAGTTGAGGGGCATCTAGATTACGTCCAGGTTTGGACTATTAACAAACAATGTTGCATGAACATAGTTGAGCCGATGTCCTTGTTGAAAGAATGTATATCTTTTGGTTATATGCCTAAGAGTGGAATTACTGGATCTTGAGGCAGACTCCCATTATCCTGAGGAAATGCCTTAGTGATTTCCCAAGTGGCTGTAGGAGTTTATACTCTAGCAGTGGAGGACTATGTCCTTTTTTCCACATTCTCTCCAACATAAACTGTCTTTGGTGTTTTTTATTGTAGCCATTGTGACAGGAGTAAGATGGTATCTCAGAATTGTTTTGATTTGCATTTCCCTGATGGGTAAGGATATTGAGCACTTTCTTTTATTATTTTTTTTCTTATTTTACATATCTATCCCAGTTCCCTCTCCCTCCCATGTCCCCCGATCTCCCTCCCATCCCATCCCCCCCCCACTTCACAGGGAGGGTGATGCCTTCCAGAAGGGATCATCAAAATCTGTCAAGCTATTTGGAGTAGGGTCTAGGCCCTCCCTCCTGCCTATAGGCTAAGGGAGTATCCCTTAAGTGTCTTTCAGACATTTTGGATTCCTCTATTAGTTCTGTACCCCACTTTTTAATTGGATTATTTGGTGTTTTGGTAACTAGCTTCTTGAGTTCTTTGTATATTTTGGAAATCAGCCCTCTGTCAGATGTTGGGTTGGTGAATATCTTTTCCCATTCTGTGGGCTGCCGCTTTGCCTTTTAACCATGCCCTTTGCCTGCAAACTATTTTTGAATACTTCATCAGAAAGATCACTACTAGAAGAAAGAGGGAAAACCCAAAGCTGAGAAAAGGCTGATATTGTCTGAAAAACTTAGCAGTAGATATAAATACACATTTATTTTGTATTGTACTTTGTCTTAAGTCTTAAATTTTTGAGTGTAGTTAGACAAGTAAAACTCACATTGCCTGTACTGTTGTAGAATTAACAACTATTATTCATTTCTCTAAGAGTTTTTTATTTATTCATAACTGCTCCTACTTCTTAAGATGGTTAAACTGAACATTTATTTATTTACTAATATAAAAAACACTTATTTTACATACCAATTCCAATTCACTCTCCCTCCCATCCTCCCATTGCCCCCACCCCATCCCACCCTCATCAACTCTTCAGAGAGGGTGAGGCCCCCTATGGTGGACCACCAAAGTCTGTCACATCATCTGGGGTAGGACCTAGGCCCTCCCCAATGTATCTATGTTAAGAGAGTATCCCTCGATAGGGAATGGGCTCCACAAAGCCAGCTCATGCCTTAGGGATAAATACCAATTCCACTGCCAGAGGCCCCATAGGCTGCCCAAGTCCCCCAACTGACAGCCACTTTGAGGGTGGGGCTTGTTCTGCATGTTCCTCAGCTGTCAGTCTGGGGTCCATGAGCTCCCACTTGCTCAGCTCAGCTATTTCTGTGGGTTTCCCCAGCATGGCTTTGACCTCTTTGCTCATCACTCCTCCCTCTCTACCACTGGATTCCAGGAGTTTGGCTCAGTGCTCAGCTGTAAATCTCTGCCTCTGCTTCCATCAGCTACTGGATGAAGGCTCTATGATGGCCTTTAAGGTAGTCATTAATGTCGTTATAGGGGGAGGGCAGTAGGTGAAAGGGACAAGATCTCTTAAGTTGATTGGGAGTATTGGGGGATGGGGAATGACGGAAGAGAGAGGAAGGGAGAAGGGGAGGGGAAGGAGAACATGAAGGATCAGAAAGTTCCCACTTAGAGCAAGGTGGGAGACACCTTGATAGAGAGAGCTCTTATGGGCTCAAAGAGAAATCTGGCGGTAAGAAATCTGGACTCCAAGGAGTCCACAAAAGTGACCCAACTAAGTATTGAAGCAACAGTGGAGAGTACCTTAACTGAACTTTTAATTATAGTTTCCACAAAGGCTGTGTGCTCGGTGGAAACTTTATCTCAAATTGTAAACATCAATCCTTGTTGCTGAGCAGTGCAGCAATCCATAGTTCAAAGTAGGTATACATTACAGTGTACTGTGTATAGTCAACTGCCTGGGATATTCACGGAGTGTTACTAAGTGGCTTTATATAGTGGATAACTCTTTCCACCATATAGCAATATAAGTTCCTTAGCACATTCCAGCCTAGATTGTTTGGTCGCATGTGTGTGTCAAATGAACTTTTGATCCACAATTTTGATATGCCTTATTTGCATATCCCCACTCTTATTCATAATATCTTAAGTATGCACAGAATCAATTCATAACACACTTTCCAGACTTTTATATGTATGTTTAATACTTTCTTGTCAATATTTCCTTATTTCTTGATCTCAAGAATTTGGATGCATGTTTATGTGTTGACACATGTGTGTCTGACACAATTCTTTTTTCTTTGATCAGGCAGACTGATTTTTCCCCCCCAGCACACTAGGGGCCATCTCCAGCAGATGGCACTACTAACACATTTATTTAGTAGAGGGCACTAGCCTTGGTGCTGAAAGCCACTGTAAAAATACAAAATAGATAAAGGCGTGCACCACCACACCCCACTTAGACTATCTCCTAAGGCTTACCATGTTAACTGCTGTAGGGCTGGAAGACTTACTTCTAGAACAGACTGTACAGACTGTTCAGTCAGTGAGCTAACTAACAACTGAGGTTTGGGGGATTTGGATTTCGAGTACTAGCATTTATCACAGATCTCATCAAGCTCTATAAAAATATACTTTACATAAATACTTAGATCAGATATTGGCATCAAAAGAGTATATAACTCTGTTTTATGGTGAAAATATTTGAGCAAACTTCCAAAAGATTTTATATCCTCCCAAGAGTATACCATTCATAAATTAGCTTTAAATAGGAAAAAAATTACCTATTTTAGATGTATAAATCACCATGTGAGCAATTATAAAGAAGTCCAAGATACTGAAAATAAGTTAACACACATAAACAAAAACTAACTTACTTGGCATCCTTTGAAAACAGGCACAACCAGAGTGTGTATTGTGCATCTGTCCATCCTCCTTTGTTGAATCCTTGCTTCCATCCCTACACCCAGGGAGAAGATAGCAGCACTGTCAGGGGAGGGTCTAGCTGCTGCACACAAACCCATTACTGTGACAGACAAATGCTGCCCAGGATGTGCCATGAGCCATTCCTCAGCCACCGTACAGTTAAGTGCATCAGTGGCCAAGGGGGTTTGGCCCCCACATGAGCTTCTGCGGTGTGCACAGAGAACCTGCCATGGCTCTATGAGGAAATGAATCCCAGAAGTTGTCTAAAGCACTGGAAGACAGGACATGAAGGGGATGGATGATGCCATCCATGGAACTGTGTTGTAGAGAGGTCAGATTGTTAAGACCCTGCTTCCCAATCTACTGTTATTAAAGATAAATTACCTGCCATTCCTTCTCATGTAATTCATCTCAACTGTAATCTCTAATACTGAGAAACAGATTAGCCATTCAGAGTAGTGATATATAATTGCCCTGTGAAATTTAAAAGGTGTTTGATTAACTGACTAGTTTGACTCTGATTACAACAAGAAATGCAGAGCAATGAAGGAGAAAAATAATCTCCTGTCATTATCAAATACAAACCTGCAGGTTCACAGTGTAACTTAGAAGAAAGCTGGATAGACAGCATGTACCTGCTCTAATCTCTGTGAGTTTGAGGCCAGCCTGTTCTTCTCCAGAGTTCTATGGAGTGAGATTCGTGCCATTAATTTCATGGTGTGACCTTGCCAAAAAAAAAAAAAAAAAAAAAAAAAAAAAAAAAAGGAAAGAAAATAAGAAGAAAGGAAGAAAAGGGAAGAAAAGAAAGAAAGAAAGGAAGGAAGAAAGGGGTTTAGGTGAGGGGTATAAAA